AAGCCTCCCAACACCCGAGAAACTTGTGTTTGAAACATGGAATGCTCTTCCAGACAGTTATAGGAACATGAAGAAATATGCATTTGGAGTATTATCCATCTTTGGATCAACATACCTGTGCGAGCAGATATTCTCAAACATGAACTACATAAAATCCAAATACCGCACCCGCCTCACAGATGAGAGCTTGCAGTCCTGCGTGAAGATTAAAGTTACATCTTACATGCCCGATGTTGAGAAGCTGTCCAGTGATGTCCGAAAACAGAAGTCACATTAAACGGGTAAGAACACAATCCTGTCATAGGCACATATTTAGTAACAAAGTGGCTGTTTTTATAAAGTGATTTCTGATTTTTGTCAGTATATATTTGGAATGACACAGGGATATTATTGTGTTTTGTTGCTCAGGTCCGAGGATGGCTGCATTGTATTGTGCGTGTCAAAAGAGAAGAGGGTGCTGCTGCATTTTACCCTTGCACATTTGCAGAAAACTAAAGAGAAGAGGATAATGCACAGAAATCGAACTTAAACTGTATTATTTTAATTGTATATACTTTACCTTTTCAAAAGGCTGCTGTTTTATTGCACTCTGTCTGTTGCCCAGATAAGGGGGAAAAGAGAAGAGGATTGTATTGTATTGTATTATTGAGGATTGAAAAGGACTGCATTTTATTTCCATGGGGAGGTCTGAAATTACAGGAGGCCTATTATGCACGTTGCACATTTTGTTGTTGTTTTTTCGAATCCTAAAATAAAAATGACATAAAAAATCTGATTTCTTTATTGTATTTCTATAATTTCATCAATGCAACGAAACATAATACATTAATATTATAATGGAAGTTCAACTTAAAGCTTCATCGTACAGCAGAGTAGTCACGTGGTGCGTCATTCTCTCCAGGATGCGCTGCAGGGAAAATAAACATTTAATCATGAATGCTCATTATGTATTTGTAGCCTACTTATAATTTTGATAGTAGGCTAATATAGCCACTTACAGCATGTGTTGCCTTCATTATAAGGCTTATATAAGGCTTTTAATTTTTTGCGGCTCCAGCCTTTTTTTTTTTTTTCTTTTGGTCCAATATGGCTCTTTCAACATTTTGGGTTGCCGACCCCTGCCTTAGACAGACAGTTCTAACGCGTTTTCCTTCATCACATTTGTTTTACTCACATTTGGATGACTTCCTTGGCCTCTGGTGGTTTTGATATTGTGCTATGTGTTTACTCCAAATAAAAGGATCAACTTTTCACACATTCAACAAAGAAAACCGGCCTTTAAAGTCAAATCAAACAAGAGGCAAAACTCAAATCAAATAATAAACAACTTACGTGGACTTTCTCTATTCCTTTATTTGTAAAGGCTTTTATAACTTAAATGGTTAAAAACGGTCCCTCGATGGCGTCTGCACCATATACAGTCTTCTATGTTATGCACGCAGGTTGCCCAACTCTGGCTCTTTAGGCTAGCGGCGTGGGAATTGTAGTCCTTTGTGCCGTCTTGACTACAGATCACAATTAGATGGCCTTTTTTAATTTTTTTTATATAAAACAAAAATACTGACTGTAACAAGGCCCATTTCCCTGTTGAATGTGGGTGGAAATGTATATTTTGTATTTATTTTGGTTAACCATGTGCCGCATTTCTTCAAGCCATCATCAGAAGCCAGAGAAGTGAACTAGCAAGTAATACATTAGAGATGTCAGTTTAAAAGGCATCTCAGTGGCTTTAGGAAGAAATTACAGTACTTGGCGTATCCTTTTTATGTATTCATTTTGACATGAAGTGTCTGACTGACGGCCTCTGCTGTGTCCCCCCTGCAGGATGAGTTCCTGAAGAGCAACCCCAATGGAATTAACCCTGTGAGCGCCAACGATGTCTTCTTCAGTCTGCATGCTGTCGTGTTCTGTGTGGTCTACATAAGCCAGGCCGCTGTGTATGAGGTGTGTTGACATTGTAGAGAAGCTTGCGTTTATAGTGAGATTTGTGTTGATGTGTGGATCATGGAGTGGCTCTCGGTGTGTAACTCTGTGTGTTTCCTCACAGAGGGGGGGCCAGAAGGTCTCGCGCACAGCCTGCTTCCTGCTGGTGGTTGGCTGGACGTTTGCCTTGGTCAGCCTGTTTGTTGCCGTAGCCAAACAGATCACCTGGCTGGATTACCTCTACTATTTCTCCTACATCAAACTGGCAGTCACTCTGGTCAAATATGTGCCTCAGGTGAGAGATACACAAAGTCTAGTTATTAAGAAATATGAATTAAGATTAGATTAGATACACTTTATTCATCACAAATTGAAGAACAAATTGTCACAGCAGCATGTTAACATGCATTAGTTAAAAAATATAATTATACAAAGTAAAAACAATAACATAATCAGTAACATCAAAACTAGAACATATATATATATATATATATATATATATATACGTATATATATATATATATATATATATATATATATATATCAATAGAGGATCCATTATTATTATTATTACAATTATTTATATTAATAACATCATAACATGGGATTAATGATAATCTGCACTACATGAACATGTTGCATTATTATATAAATATATAAAAATGGCTATCAAATGGATAATAATTATTGTAAATGAATTAGTTGCTGCCACTTGAATATCAATTATTATATTAACTATGATCATTTCATTTACACAACTTGGGTTCCAACAGTAACATGGTGAAACCAGTAATGTAGTCTCATAAAATGCATAGTAAGTAATATGTATAAATACAAATAATTACCTTTACAATGTCTGTTATTCTTTAAAGGATTTCTGAATGAATTGATGATGCACTTAACAATGTACTGTCAACATGTGTTGGCCTTGGTGCCGGGGCATGTTCCTGTGTATAGAGAACCTGCTGATTAAAAAGGATGCAATGCACTAAACCTGTTAAGCCCCGAGCCTGTTTTTCAGGTCTCAGGCCCGAAAATGACATTCCCAGAACAAATGACCATATCTTCCCTTCTAAAAGGGTTAAATTTATAATCTTTTTTCTCAAAGCAAGGTTACATCTGTGAGTTGGATTTAGAAGCGTCAGAATCAATATAGATGTTTTTATTTTAAAGTAAATTCAGATTGAACACAGTAAAGAAATTTAAATTATTGTGCCCGTCCAAAAGAAATGTTGTACTTCTAGTAAAAACCACCCTTGAATGATGGGATGGTAGACTAAAAGCTTTAGGAATCCAAACTACAACATATAATAAGCACCCTGTATCAAGATTGATGCAAAACAAGTGAAATTTGACCTTTTTAGAGAGATTTAGCACAAAAAAAACACTTCTGGGTTGCGGTCGAATAATCCAAAAATCAGCTGCTAACGTCAAACCCTATCGTCTATTCCTTGACCTCTGAGTGAAACGTCATGGGGTTAAGGGATAGTGGATAGGAGAATTCAAAAGGACTTAGGAGAACAGACTGCGGTACTTTAGAGCAGTGGTTCCCAACTTTTTTCCTAAGAGTCCCCCCCAAATGACTCCTGTTGGAAGTTGCGTCCCCCAACAAAATACTTGACAGTAGTTGTAGCATTTTGAAACTTTGAAACTTTAATTACCGCTGTTGCGCCTGGCCCCCCCTTCTGCGATCTTTGGCGTGGCGCGCCCCCCAGGTTGGGAACCACTGCTTTAGAGAATCCGACAACACTTTCACTATCCGACGTGTTTTATGATGCGCCAGCGGACGTCATAAATGTGCGTCTACTGCTGTGGGGAAATTATGGAAACTACAGTTTTCAATACAGCGGACTACATGGATGTACAATAAGAACGAGGAACTACTGTAAACTCATCTAGACTCTGCACCGTGCTCTGATGCTGTTGCTTTATGCTTTATGAACGTGGACAACAGAGAAACATATTCTTCATGACCAAAGTTGTAATTGAAATAAAAAAGGAATGTGAAACTTATGCTCGTCACCCTCTCCCTCCGGTCCACATTAATACAAATGATCCCAAAGATTGTATGAACTATGAAAAGATCTTAAAATCAATACAAATGTATTTATTATAAACGTAAGTCCTTAACATCTATCACTGTGTATTAGGCTTGGGCGGTATGACGGTATTACGGTATACCAGGGTATTTCGAAATACCGTCGGTATGATTTTCAATACCGTGACGTCACAGACTGTGCGCCAAATCACAGATGCGTTTCATTCTATTAGACTGACACAGAGTTTTGACAGGGACGACATTGGTTGTAATGCACAGCACGCGCCAGCAGAGGGCAGGGGAGGGCAGTCCGTCTTTCCCGCTCTCAGAGCTCAGCACATAGCTGAGCTGAGCAAGATGGCGGCAGCATTTGCCGGCCCCGAACTCGGAAAACTAGTAAAAAAGAAAAATGCCTCTGCGCCTGTTTGGGACTATTTTGGGTTTACTCGTCGCCAGTGACTTCATCCAGCACAACGAGAGACAGAGGCACTTCTTTGGGAATGTTTAAGACGGGGTGAGTGAGTGTTGACATTTTTTAATCCTATGCAACTGGTTGATGGTTTTGTAGTCGAGGTCGGACGGTTTTAAAAACGAAAGCATTTACGTGCTAAACCTTCACGCGAGTAATCCAATGAATCAAATGGAAATAAGGTTTTTAACATATGCACGGAATAATATTGCCAAACTAGTTAGTGAATATAGCAAACTTTATTCAATAAGTCAAGTATTTACTCCCGGAAAATGTTTATGTATGATGATATTTGTGATGTTTACTTAGCTCACTCTATGTTGA